TCTAATACTTTAAAAAGTCAAGCATTTTATTTCAGATTCTTCCTTTCATAGTCTAGTCTATGATAATAAAAATTACTAGATGAGAGATAATTTTAAATATTAAAAAATTTACTTTATTTAATAATTTAAATTAATTATTTTATATAATCTAAACTACATAATTTTTTTTTGTTTTATTTTAGTGGGCGTAGTTTTTTGTTTTTTGTTTTTGTTTTTTTGGTGTTAATCAATTGAGACATTGACATTTTAAAGTTATTAAATGCCATACGGCAGCAATATGCTCATAGTCAATTTTTGAAGCATCTAAGCAACAATTTTCTATTAATGATATGATATTTGATAGGACAACAGAATTAGACATCACTTTCAAATTAGTCATACTAATGTTGAGTGATCTTGCTTAATACTTAAATGAAGAAGAAATTATAACTTCCAATATTAAATGTTCTTTTTATATTTTTTTTTTCTAAAAAAAACTTTCAAGGTATCTCCACCTCAATTCATACACACCCTTGATTAAACCCTCAAGAACAATCTATACAATGCATAAACCTTACTAGAAAAGTCATACCCATATAATTTTATTGAAAAAGTCCCAAGCAATCTGAGAAAGGTGTATTCTCCACATGACTCCATTAATTACAATATATTTAAATAAATCAAATTTCTTGATGCCAATTCAAAACTGATATGGACGAGAGGTTCTAGATTTTTAAGTCAATTTTTTTTTAAAAGTACAGGAATAGTTATGAAATTAATTGAATATTTTTAATAAATTAATATGTATGTACAATTTTTTAAAAATATTTAAATAATTTCACAAGCATTTTTATAATTTTTTTAGATGATAAACTATAAAATATTTTTTTAATGCAGCAAAGCAAGATATAAAAATATAAATAATAATTTATTAACATATGAAGGTGTCACATTACATCTATATCCTTTATACATATTCTTGTTTTACAGGCTCAAAATTATTGTGATTGATGGTGAATGTATTTGTTCATTTTGGTTTTGGAGTAGTCATAAACATGAACAAGTTGCTTCTGAAATCTCCTAATATCTAATTTAATGGTCTGACCTTGGAGATAAATTTTCTTAGTAAATTCCCATCCCTTTTTACTCACGCTTTCTGGATTTGTAAGAACAGGATCATCTTTGTCATAACTCCCATACAAAGAGCTCTCTTTAGGAAGGATCTTGTACCCAATGTACCTTAAACCAAGCTTCCTCGCAGGATGTCCATAGTATGTCTCTGCTGCCCAATCTGTTCCAAGGGCAATGATTTGGATGAACACAGTTCCAGGTCTCATGAACAAGAAATGTGTCAGGGCAGCACCATGGACACCAACCATGGCATCACTTGAATTAAGGGCTACATAAATCTTAGCTAGTTCTGTGCTTTGTTTAGGTCTCAGAACTCGAACTTGAAACCCTATTCTCTTTGCTGCTTCCACCAACAAATTTTCATTTGTTATCGCTCTAGAACCATTGCGAGACAAGATTACTAGCTTTGGTTTCCTGGGTTGATGTTCTTTTTTCTCCTTGTTTCGGACCATAAGAGCTCTAATTCTAGGATAGTAAGCTCTGTCTAGGAGATTTCGGAAATCCGCAATGCTCTTATTCCCACTTATTAGGGAAGATTCCACAGTTAGCTCATCATGGATCTTCAGACCAACAATTGCCTCCGGGAAGCAATGAGTTCTATTGTCTCCGGTGAAATTGATTACCGGATGCTCTGAGAGGTGTGGTAGGATATCTCCATACTTCATCATCCACCAATGGTGATATTCAAGAATCACAAACACAACCTTCTTGTTCAGATGCTGAGATGTTATGTACAATGGCAAAATCCCATCATTGAATTCATGGTAAACGTTCCCAGTGTAACCTCCCGTTGAGAATACGACTACCGGAACATCATGATGCACATCACACCTATGGTCCAAACCCGGATTTTCCCTCTTGGAGACAAGGTCCAATTCATCTATGGTGGCCATGGTACCTGCTTCCCATTTCCTAGTATATGGTTTGATTTTTTCATGTTGGACAACGTTTGAAACATTATTGATGAATCCGTTGTCGTGTTTTGAGGTATAGAGGAAGATAGAAGATGAAGCAGAGTGTGTTCTTACATCACCCTTCATGACACAAATATCAGTCCGAAAATGGCTTCTGTCACAGCAAATTGTCCCTGATGTTAGCGCAAAATTAAAGAGTCATTCAACATGATATCCATAATGTTCTTTGGCTCAATTGGAATGCAAATTAGAGATTTCAGTTCAAATCTTAATGTGGGTGAGCACTATTTTTCCTAACGGGATTGAACTAGATGGTCGAGAAAAGTATTAAAAAAATAATTACCATTAGAAACCGAAGATAAAACAGGAACCTTTACGTCCATGTTATCAGGAAATCCTTCATCTTTTACACCAAATGAATCTGCAGACACCATATAATTAGAAGGGTTAACATGAAAAAGGATCAAGAAAAATTGGAAACAGAGGAACCTAAACTCAAAAGAAAAGAAAATAACATTAACCCATGAGACCATATAGCTTACAAAGACGATACAGAATAAAGGAGGTGATGAAGTAAGGTGCCAGAATAAAGCTGCAAAAGATAAAATAAAGAAGTCTGGGCCTTTTCCTCCAGTAGTAACCACAGCTTGCCCAGGACAACAGGAAAGTTTGTCCCTTTTCATCCTTGTCTGTATTCTCCTTGCTGTTCTTCATCAGATAGTAACGCAAATTCTGTACCACCTATTGTTTCCCAGTCTGCTCTGCTCATGAAATAAAACCAAGAAACAGAGTAAAAAACAGAGTAAAAGACAGAGCTCCTCTGTTTACTTGTTTGTAAAGGAAAGATGCAGAGGAGTTTACATTAAATAAAAGATTAATAAGGCAGCCTTTCATATTTTCAGGTGCACGTCATATGGTATTACAATGAAATGAAATAATAGAATTTTTTTCCCGGTAATTATTTAAACCGTAAGAAAAATAAAGTGTTTTTTTTTTTTTGGTTTTTGTTTTTGGTAACGATTTGTTAGTTCAAGTGAAAAAAAATCGATTATTTTTAAACAAAATGTTAAGTTTGAGTATTGTGAATAGAGGAATAGATATTATGAGAGCTTTTCTTTTATGGGTTCGACGCGACTCGATTTTGAACTAATCGGAATTTAATATGATTACTGCATATTGAGTGTTTTTTTAAGAATAGAGTTTTAAAAAACAAAAAAAATATTTAATTTAATTATCTAATTAAATTTATTTATATAGCATTAACTCTAAAATTAATGTTTATTTTTATATTTTTTATACAAATTTATTACAAAAAAATATTTTTAATATGTACCCTAAAGGTATATGTTAAAAAAATTCATAAATCAATGCATATTAATTTATGAATGTTGATAAAATGAAAAATGTAGAGTACAAATCAAATAATGTGTAGCAGTTCATTAAGTTTTTTTGGGTGGTGTTATAGGAATAACTTTTTTGTTCCACCTTTTTATACAATTTTCACATATCATTAAATGAGTAGATGCATTTAATATTACAGGTCTCATATCAATTAAAAGAACTAATTATTTTAATGATATATCAAGTTGTACAAAAAAATTAAACAAAAAGATTGTACAAAAATCATTTTTTTTTTCTTAAACATAAGAAAATTGGGAAAAGGAAAATTATTTCACAAGAATTTAAATCATGGTAACATTTATGATCCAAGATACACC